ATGTTACTGCAGCAGTCTTCTGACTATAATAAAGAGTACCTGGAAGATGGTGACTTCGCTAGTGTCTCGCAGCAAGAAGATGATCCTTTCTTTGTCTTGAATCAACAACTTGGTGACAGGAACTTGAAAATTGCTCATCTTAACACCAATGGTTTACTAAATAAGCTACCAGAAGTCCAAAATATTTTAGATCAAGCTAGTTTTGATATCCTGGGCATCTCGGAAACCCATTTAAGAGAAGATATTCCAGATGAATGGATTAATATTAATGGATACAGTTTTGTGAGAAGAGATCGTGATTCAGGTCCAGGAGGAGGTGTCTTAATATATTTCAAAGCGAACCTTACTGCTTATTTGGTAACCCGTTGGAACTGCACCCATCTAGAAGCGACATGGCTGAATGTAACAATAAGATCACAATCTTTCCTGATAGGATGCATTTATAGACCACCTCAAGATTCCTTATTTTTCAATCATTTCAGGAACGTGCTAGAAAACATCTGGCTAAGAAGGAAATATATTATTCTTTTGGTATATCAGGAAATTTACTATCTTGGATGGGAAGCTACCTGTTAAATCGTAACCAATTTGTTCAAGTTAATGAAGTGAAATCAGACACTAGCTCTATCAAGTTTGGAGTACCACAAGGGTCAATCTTAGGACCCAAACTGTTCTCCCTTTATGTCAATGACTTTCCTGAATCTGTAACCTCGGGAGAACTTTATATGTTTGCTGATGATACTACCATATTTACCATAAGTGATAATATTGATACTATAATTAAGGCCATGCAAGTTATACTAGATCAAGTTCTTAGTTGGTGTGGTGCTAACAGATTGATTGCTCATGAAACTAAGTCAGAAGCCTTATTATTATCTAAACAAAGATTCATTGGTCCATTGTTGCCTTTGAAGTATGGTGAAAAATTTATTGAATTAAAATCATCATGTAAATGTCTAGGAGTAACTATAGACAGTAATCTTTCTTGGCAAGAACACACTAAAAGTCTGTTAAAATCTTTTAATAAGAAAATAGCAGTCCTCAGAAGAATTAAATTCTTGCCATCATCCATTCTACAGACCATTTATTTTAGGACTGTACTTCCAAGTGTCTTATACGGAATACTAGTATGGGGTTCCTGCTCACCTGCACTAATGGATGATCTTGAGCGTGCTCATATACGAGCTTCTAAACTTATTTTTAAACTTTCAAGGAATTCGAATGCTGATCAATTAAATAAATTGAAAGGCTGGAACAATTTATCATTTTACTATACTAAGAGACTGTTAGTAGAAGCGTATAAATCCTACTATAGATGCAATACCAATGTTTTAAATGATCTAGTAATGTTAAAACAATCATCTCACTGCCTGAGGAAATCAATGAATATTGAATTTCCAAGTCCTAAATCAGAAATTGGCAGGCTGACTTTTAAGCATAGAGCTGCCATTGCTTGGAACTCACTTCCTGATTCGATCAAAAAGTCTTCTAGCTTAGAATGTTTTAAAAAAAGACTTAGATCTAGCAAGGACTTAATTAATTCTATAAGCTATAATAAGGAATCTTCCATGATAAGAAATAGGAATGAGGAATTTCTTTATTAATCTTATTTATATTTGTATTGTTATTATTATTTATTATTTAACTTCTGTTGATTTTCTATTTTAGTTTATAACAAGTAGATAGGCAGGTCCACATCAGGACTTCAGTCTTGCGTATTCTGTAACCTGCGTTACCAAATAAACTATGTATGTATGTATGTATGTATGTAATATGAGAGCTGTGCAACTATTATTGGCATCTGCAGCTTCCAAACGCCTCCTAAGCAGCAAATTCTGGGCTTTGAGGTGGGAAGCTTTGCGTTTGACGATCAAACTCTCAAAGTAGACAGGTTGGACACATGAAAACAATCTAAGATATCAATGTATTTTCTTTTGCCGTAGAGTCTGGTTTCCCGTTTACATCACGTCTGCGGATGAAAAAGAAATAAAGACAAACATTGAATGATACATCAATATCTATTTCAAACTATTTTAAATTCAATGCCTGTAGTGGACGAGTTGATGAGAAGAATAACACATACATAGCCTTGCTAATCACATTTCATCCTACACCACTCACACACAAAAAAGTAAGTGAGAAGGATTTTAAATTTAATGCTCCAAGTAAAACACTCAAACTTTGCTGTCACTTTCTTTTACCAAACCCATAAAAGGCTGCCCAAAGAAAATTTCAAGGTCCATGAGAATGTGCCTGTCATTTTCTCAACAAATTATTTTACAACTGGAAATGCCACTTTTAACAGGACTAGAATAAGCAATGTATATATACAAGATGCAATTTTGTAGTGCATTCTTTGTAACCCAAAAAGCAAACATTTGTCTTAGAGTTCTTAAAGAGAACAACAAAAACAACTGGATGTCCTACTTCCTTCGGAACATTCCAAAGTTCAAAAGTGTCATGAAATTGAGAGTATCTGTTAGAGAAGCATATATATGACCTACTACCGGCATCAGACACCCAATGAAAAACGCAATGCAAACTTGCAAGAAATGCAGACTTCTTCAAACATGACATTGCTTTATTTTTTGGATGGTGTTTTTTTCATTCATAACCAAAATCCCATACAGGCACCAGCTGGAACCAAAAGCCGAATGTGGAGAAAAAAAACTGTTTCATGTAATAGGTTTGCGTCTTTTTCCTTGTAATTTAGTTTCCTTCCTTTACGAATTTAGTTTTTTTCTACATTATTTTCAGCCTGCTGTGAGAATAGAAAATAGTTTTGAATAGTCAAAAGAACACGTATTTGTAATTACTTTTCGTAAATAAATGAATAAATGAATAAAGTTACTGAGAACATTACTTGTGAAACATTCGAACAATTCAGAGACTGCTAATAAAGTCAATGAAAAGACAACCAAGAGACGGTGTTGATCGCACTACTGAAAGCATGAACAATAGGATTGATACCATACTTTTGTCCGAAGGGTCACAAACCAAATATTAGGACTGATTGCAACATGGTTCGGAATTATCTCTCCTTTTCTTGCCTACAAACGACTAAACAGGTGTGATGAACTGGACATGAAAATCAATTATTCAGCTGCCTGCAAGATGGCAGTGCAACAAGTTGGATAGCAACTGTATATGTCAAACGTTAAGGACTCGTACTTTGTAGTAACAGTAATTTATTATCTGAGTTCTCGAGCATACTTTGTTGATTCATTAATTACAAACAAAGTCTTAAGCAATTCTTGCATTTGCTATTCTTTTAAAGCAAACTCAAACCTGTTAAGACATGGCTCAGGAGATAAGATCGAATAAATAGGGGGAAAATCATTGCACCACACAGAATTATTGAATTGCCACCAAACTTGGCAAGGAACGAATGTTACTATTTGTAACATCTTTCAAAATATTTCGCTGATAGGAAACGGCAAAAGTTAACCAGGAATAATGTCGCTGATGAAAAAGATACATGTATACATGACAACGACAGCAATTGTATAGCATTTTTTGCTTAAAAATACCCTCATGACTTTTCGTTAAATCTAGTGAAACAGACCACCTGTGGCCATTCTTTCTATGTGGTCCACGCGAAGAAAACGTCTCTTGGTTCATGAGAAAAATTAAAGGCCTTAACTGTTTTCTTCTGACGTTCTTAAAAGAAAGCGTTTTCACCCAGTGGACTTTGTGGTCACGCTGTGAAATGTCACGTACGTCAGATGCAAAATTCTCCTATTTATAATTTTACTGAAATATAACCTTTATTGTATTTTTTATATACTTTGGAAAGTGCATTATCAGCACAGTTCCAGGGCGAGATATCTCAATCAAATGTTAAATGCAACNGTTGATTCATTAATTACAAACAAAGTCTTAAGCAATTCTTGCATTTGCTATTCTTTTAAAGCAAACTCAAACCTGTTAAGACATGGCTCAGGAGATAAGATCGAATAAATAGGGGGAAAATCATTGCACCACACAGAATTATTGAATTGCCACCAAACTTGGCAAGGAACGAATGTTACTATTTGTAACATCTTTCAAAATATTTCGCTGATAGGAAACGGCAAAAGTTAACCAGGAATAATGTCGCTGATGAAAAAGATACATGTATACATGACAACGACAGCAATTGTATAGCATTTTTTGCTTAAAAATACCCTCATGACTTTTCGTTAAATCTAGTGAAACAGACCACCTGTGGCCATTCTTTCTATGTGGTCCACGCGAAGAAAACGTCTCTTGGTTCATGAGAAAAATTAAAGGCCTTAACTGTTTTCTTCTGACGTTCTTAAAAGAAAGCGTTTTCACCCAGTGGACTTTGTGGTCACGCTGTGAAATGTCACGTACGTCAGATGCAAAATTCTCCTATTTATAATTTTACTGAAATATAACCTTTATTGTATTTTTTATATACTTTGGAAAGTGCATTATCAGCACAGTTCCAGGGCGAGATATCTCAATCAAATGTTAAATGCAACAAGTTTTATAAGCATTTAAAGTTGATTTCCTATTCTACTACAATCATCGTCAAAAGTGTTGGGAAGGTTGCCTTTTTTACCTCTTCTTTTCCTTCCTCCCCCCGCCCCTGGCCCAATGTTGATCAAAATGGTTAATGTTTGTGCGCATAATTGTTCTGTTATATCCCAACATTGAATAGGGGGGACGGGGGATATTTAGCAAAAGAGAAAACAAACTCTCTTTTTTCAGGATTAAAATGGACTCCTGTTAAGTTGTACAGCCTTACCAACTACTTTTGTCTGTGATTGTACCTTAATGCCATTCTAAATGAAATCAAATTGTTGCAAATATCATATTGTTCTAGAAAAAGATTGATTTTGTCACAGACAATAAAAATAAACTAAACTATTCTCATTCAATTAAAATTATCTAAAACATAATAACTTTTTATATATAAGCTCACTCAAAACCAAGTTATCACTGCAACTCAAACATTTACCCAGTTATAAAAAAAAATTATTACTTTAATTTACACATAATTAATAACAGATAGATCAATTACTACTCAACACTTATTTAATAACTGTTTTAAAGTGATTATTTCAAAAAAAAAAAATAACATGCTCCAAAATTAATCACAACCAAAGTTTAACACTACATTAACCGTGAAAGTGAGTCAATATGAGACTGTGCCTCAAGTCACTTTCACACAATAGGCTCTTTGCATAACTTGACCACGTGATCAACTTTCAATAAACACGAAAATAGTTCCCTTTTGAAAAAATTTTGTTAGCACAAGCTGAAATAGCAAATTAAAAATAGGTCACCTGAGAATTTTCAGCCATATATCTCAAAAGTAGCGATGAAACAGCTGCCAAAAATTTGAAGCATTTGTATGAGAAAAACAATTTTTGCCATCCAGTCACCCTTTCATGGTTTTCCATACAAATCCTTGTACAATCGAAATTTTCAAATCTGTCATGAAATTTTTTCTTAAGCATTACAGGGCTCAAATCTCCTTTTCATTCATAACAGACAATTTGAGCTCTTAAGTCGGTTAGAAAAAAATTACACGACAGTTTAAAAATTTTGGAATTTACAAAGATTTGTATGGAAACCATGCAAGCGTCACTGGATGGCACACAAATGCTTCTGACTTTCGGCGGCTGTTGCAATCACTACTTTTCAGATATACCGCTGAAAATTCTCAAGTTACCTAATTTCAATATGCTCTATCTGCTTGTGCTGACAAAATTCTTCAGAAGCAAACTGTTTTACGTGTTTACCGAAAGTTGATCACGTGATCAAGTCATGCAAAGAGCCTATTATATATGCTATTTCATTGATGATTATGACATGTATAATGAACTTTGTGGTGTACCTTAAATATGAGCCAAGCATTATGGTCATGTTACAGTTTGGTTTGTTTCATTCAAAACTGAGTTTAAGTAATGGTCCGCGTAAGAACTAGGCAGGCAAAACGCAAAATCGATTAAAAGGTGTTAACTTTTAATTTTTAATTTCAATTAAATGGAGGGTTCTGATTGGCTGAAATCCAAAAATCGACGAAAAAACAAAAACAAAACGTGACAAAAACAACTTTTTTTAGCTTTGTCTTACCCATTCCCTTGTTTTATACCTCACGGCCAAATTTCAGCATTGTCCTATGCGCCAATCAAAAGTTAGCGGAGAAAACGTCTCCCACGCGCGAAGTTGTTGAGATGCCATCTTGGATTTCTTATTTCAAGTTGTCGGAAACTTTGTCATCTCCGTCCATAATCTTGTGAATTTCGACATCAAATCTTCAGATTTCTTTTTATTGAATACGCATATATATTATTTATCGTAAATTGAGAGTATTTGTCGCCGGAGGGATCGCCCAAATGCCGTTTAGCAGTGTTTGCTGCTGTCCTAAACACGACGCGTGGGGATTTGGACAAGTCGGTCCAAAGCAGCTGTTTTCATTATCATATCAGGAAACTAAGTACTGTGGCTCTGGAAAGTGGAGTACAGCTGGACACAAGGAGAGAAAACGAAAGATTTGCGGTTTATGCCGGGACAAAATTAAGCTCTTAAAGAGATGCGAAACACTGGAGTTTGAGGTAAGGTGAAGTCAGTAGATCTTCGCACCTTCTGATGATGTGATACTGTGTTAGATCTTTTCGAAACCTAGGTGTTCCACGTTACTCTTCTTTCATTCAGCTTTTTTATTTTTGTAGGCTGCTTCATCAAGCCAAATAGTAGATTCACCGGCCACTGAAAATGAACAAGTTGAAGTTTGCGTGCCACAGGATGAGCCTGATACTTTCATTGAACATTCTGTGACAGAGGACAAAGCTTGTCAAGTTCCCGAAAATGCCCATACACGCCAGGGTTATGAATGTGTTGGTCATAGAANTATATTATTTATCGTAAATTGAGAGTATTTGTCGCCGGAGGGATCGCCCAAATGCCGTTTAGCAGTGTTTGCTGCTGTCCTAAACACGACGCGTGGGGATTTGGACAAGTCGGTCCAAAGCAGCTGTTTTCATTATCATATCAGGAAACTAAGTACTGTGGCTCTGGAAAGTGGAGTACAGCTGGACACAAGGAGAGAAAACGAAAGATTTGCGGTTTATGCCGGGACAAAATTAAGCTCTTAAAGAGATGCGAAACACTGGAGTTTGAGGTAAGGTGAAGTCAGTAGATCTTCGCACCTTCTGATGATGTGATACTGTATTAGATCTTTTCGAAACCTAGGTGTTCCGTGTTACTCTTCTTTCATTCAGCTTTTTTATTTTTGTAGGCTGCTTCATCAAGCCAAATAGTAGATTCACCGGCCACTGAAAATGAACAAGTTGAAGTTTGTGTGCCACAGGATGAGCCTGATACTTTCATTGAACATTCTGTGACAGAGGACAAAGCTTGTCAAGTTCCCGAAAATGCCCATACACGCCAGGGTTATGAATGTGTTGGTCATAGAAGGAAAATGGACATAAGAAGTGAAATTATGTGCAAAATAGACGCATTGCTAGATAACTATACTTCCGATGG